ATTTTTCTTTTTCAACATTGGATTCTTCCATCTTTTGGCCTCTGACTTCAAGCTCAGCAATCAACTGGTTCATTTCAGATTCAAATCCCTTGAACATGATACTTTTCTCGCTTTCAAATTTAACAAAGATGTCATTCTTCATCTCTTCTAAATCTTTGGCTCGATCTCTTTCTTTTTGCATTTCATTCATGATCTCACGGTGTTCAGCCTTGTGTTTTATAATTCGCTCTCTTCTGTCGACCTCAAAATCTTCCATTTTTTGCTTTCCTTTTTCCAGGCTTTTGAGTAGACGGCTATTCTTTCCTTTCAGATCTTCAACTCGTCTTTTCTCAATGTTCAATTCTCTGGTCATCTGTACCGTCGATTGGCTGGGTCCTGATGCTTTTCGGGATTTATATAACTCCTGATAATCTTTCTGTAAGGCTCTGTACTCATCCTCACCTTTTTCTTTATCTTTTCTCAACATTGCACATTGTGATGAATAAAAGTCAATGTCAACCCCTAACATAGCTTTATCTTGTCTCATTTGCTCTAACTCTTTCGACCAGCCATCTCTTTCTGCTTCAAACTCAGCTCTCAAGATTTCAATCTCTGATGGAACCACCTTAATGCGATCTTCCATAGAGATATCCTCATTTTGATCTGGTAGAGGAATATTTTCGTTTTTTCTGACAGATCTCCAATCTTCATAATCAGGAGTTAACATTTCTTTTGCTGCTTTAGCTCGGATGCAAAAAGTTGTTTTCCAAGCTGTAACGGCTTCCATGATGTTTCTTTTATAATTTTTGCTGTGGAATGCAAACTCAGATGACTGTAGTCCAGCAGTGACAGGTACAAATTGACGACCTTCATACTGTCTTATAACCAGCAGTGGTGCATATCCAATTCCTCCCCATAATCCGAGCAGCATTATCCAATTGTAATCACCACACCTGTAAAAGAATTCCCTTTGGATTTGCCACGGGGCGCGCCAAACAACGTCATTGCTTTGCAGATTTCGAAAGGCATTAATCCACATATCTTTCTTAATTTCTTTCGGCCATTCCTGCTCTAGAAATTCTTTTAATGGTGAATAATCCGTATTAAAGCGTCGGTATGAAACCTTTTCTGTTCTCCAGAAATGACTACGGATCCAAACATATAACAACTGGGTACACCCTGAGAATCGTCCACCTCCTAGCCTTCTGCAAGCATTTAACGATCTGAAGGTCTCTGCTAGGATGGCAGAAACAGGATTAATCTTCTTCGGTAGCTGTTCAAACAAGTCTACCACTGCAACTTCAACATATCCCAATACTTTTGGGAAGATGACCATACCATATATACCCAGAGCAAATAGATCGAATCGTACTTTAGCGTCTGGATGACTCTGAATAAGCTCTCTGATGTTGGTCCAAGCAATGCCTTCGCTTTCGCCTTTTTGTTTGGTACGGGATGCTACCCATTCTTCTCGTACCCCAGCAATCTTTGCTAATTTAACTCGAAAGGGTTGAGTTTTAATTGACTTTGAATATATTCGATTCTCCAAAGCACCTTCAAGATGTAACAAAGTTGTATATTCTTCAATAGTAGGGACCAAGTCCTCCTTATTGAAAGTGAAGCAATTGTACCCTGGATTCCAGAATTGAATTAGGGCTCTGAGTAATTCATCATCAACTTCTACATAGAGCAGATATGGAATGTCTCCGTAAGTCTGATAAAACTGCAATTTTTTGTTTGAATCCCAACTTTCCCAAATGCTTCGCAAATCTTGCATATCATTTCTTTTTAATGAAACTGGAGCATAACTGGCCAAGTCAGATACATAATCATCCTGCAGACTGTCTCTTTCTTGTCTTTGTAAATCTTCAGCCCACTGTCTTACTTCTGAGTTTAGAATTACTTGACTTGAACACTTTTTATCCATAAATGAAGGCTTTCCAATGAGACAATTAACACAAGGATCAATGTCTTTTATCCTGTATGATGCAATGCAAACAGAAAAATAAAGAAAACACAAAAAGAAAATAAATTAGTTTACATAATAAAGAAATTTAATAATAACATTTACATAAATATTCTTTATTTAAACATGCTTTTCTGAATTTAAATAATTTAAATAAACATGTAATTTAAACAATAAATGAATTAACAGAAAAGACAAAATTCATTTCTCCTGTGTGTACACCTATTTTGGACAAAATTTCGGCATGACTTCTGATCGGAAGAGTTTCTAAGGTTTTTTATATGCAGGGTTTCAGATCTAAGAATAAAGGTACCCGAATTGTCATTGTTAGTGCCCCCTTGGGTTGCTAACCCTCAATCCTAGTCCATCACAGACTAAAATGGATCGAGTTCAATTCGAGGGGATACATTTCTCTATGCCTGACACGGAGAATAAATTCTCACGAAGACAGAGAGCATATGAACCCCGGAAGTTACTTGCTAGGTCTGACACGGAGAATAAATTCTCACGAAGACGTCGCTTTCACTCCCACTTAAAAGGGACAACTCAATTATAGAGCTTTATGTTTATGCAATGCAAGTGTGGTGTGTGAGGAGAAATGTTCAAACCTTTGACAGAAAAATAAATACTGAAATAAAATATTTGCAAATAAAATAAAACATATAATTATTATAAAATAATAAATAAAAAAAATTTGAAAAGAAAGAATTAAAAATTAAATATATGAATTTTTAATTTTTAATTAATAGAGACAATTTATAATCGATTTTTAAAAGTTTGACCATCCCCAGCGGAGTCGCCAAGCTGTCGTAACCGTTTTTCGTCCGGGCACGAATTTATTTGTTTGGCGGGAAAAGTGATGTGAATAAATGGTTTTGAAAATAATTTGGGAGTCGCCATCGGCCTTTTGGGTTAGGTAGGTCGAATACCTAAAAATTATTTTTTTTTAAAAGAGTTTTAATAAAACACCAATAAAAAAAATAAACTGATCTGCGTTTATAACCAAAAATTCATTCTTTTTAATAATAAAAAGGGATTCGTGGTCGGTTACGTTTAGGGAAGGATTAGCACCCCTACAACGCCCAAAATTGGTACTTTTTAATTATAAATTGTCTCTATTATTAAAATTTTAAAAAGTCAAAAATATATTTAATTTTTTATTCTATTATTTCAAAATAAAAAAAATATTTATATTTAAAAATATCAGAAAAGAACTTCTAGGTGCCTTAAGACAGCTCTTTTCTTTGATATTGATAAATATTAATTTAAATAATATTGTTTACTTTTTAATTTTAAAATATCAGAATAGGACATCCAGTTGTATTAAGACTGTCCTTTTCTTCGATATTAAAAATAAATATTTAAAAAAAATACTATTTATTATATGTATATTTATGAATATATAAAAAATGTTTAACAATATAATAAAATAAAAATATTACTAAAACAATATATTTAAAAACAATAAAATAAATGAAGACATATAAAATGAATAACTAAATTATAAAAATAAAACTAATTACTAATTACTAATTAATTGAAATTATAGGGTTTAAATATTTTATTTTCTAATTTAATAATTTAGTGACCAAAAGGAAATTATTTAAAATTCAAATTTTATAATAGAATAAATTAAAAATATGAACCAGTGATTAAAAAAAATTATTTATTAAAATTAAGGGATTGAATCTGTCATTTATCCTAAATATATTATTTTAATAAAAAGGACTAAAATGAATAAAATTAAAATTCAAAGACTAAATTAAAATTATTATAAATTCAGTTTAGTGACTAAAATGTAAAATTTATAAATACGAAGGACTGCGGAAGGGATTTAACTTTTTCATAATTACGCGCATAGTCCTTCCCGAAACGACATCGTTCGGGAAGGACTATAAGAGTCCAAATCGGCTGGCCCGAAGGGCCAGCCATTTCATTTCTTTTTTTTTTCTTCTTTCTTAAACCGAGAGAGAGAGAGAGAGCCAGAATTCTCTCTGGCCTCTCTCTAGATTCCCTCACCGGAGGGAATCCGGCAGCCGTCTGCCGCCGCGAGTTCTGCCGCCGACCACCGCCGCCGGTGGTCGGAAATTTCTCAAATTCACCTAAAACATAGATCTAGACACCCTGAGCCCGAATCCAACTTTTGTTTTCCCGAAAAGACTCCAAATCGGAGTAAATCTATGAAAATACCTTCGTATTTTTGGTTCTCCGGCGATGTTTAATGATTCCGGTGTTGGTCAAGGCTTCCTTGGTAAGCTTCTTTCCTCTCTTTTTCCTTCTATTTTTGCTCTGTTGTTGTGGACTGGGATCGTTGGTAGTTGTTGTTGTTTTTTTTTCTTTCTTTGTTTTTTCTTTTCTCTTCGTTTCTCTGTTTTTTCTCTGGTTTTTTTTTTTTGTCTCTCCCCTTTTTTTTTTCTTCGCAGGTGGGGTGGTGGCTTTTATAGCCACCACCATTGTATCCGTCGGACCGGTCCGAAGAAGGGCTCTCGGTGAGTCACCGGACTACCAGTGGTGACTCACCGAGTAGCCATGGCGTGGACGGCTGCCATTTTATCTTCTGGAGTCTTCGGTTGGGACGTGGCAGCGGCGGAGGCGGCGAGAAGACTGTCGGCAGCCGCGTGGAAGCTGGGGCGGCGCCGCGTGGCCCTAGGGTATCAAACCCTAGGGTTCCTCTCTGGAGCCATCTGGACCGTTGGATCTTGCCAGATCCAACGGCTATGAGCTGAGGCGGCTGGTTAGATTAGGGTTAGGAAACCCTAACTGGAAACCCAAATATTTAGGGTTTCTGGTTGGATCTGGACCGGTTCTGGTTGGTTTGTAACTGGGCCGGTCCAAATGTAATGGGTCTGTAATTATTATTATGTATTTAATATATTTAATATAAATTAATAATAATAATAATAATAATAATAATAATAATAATATTAATAATAATAAGGATAATAATAATATTAATAATAATAATATGGATAAAAAAAATTTAGTATCTTCAGATAGTTTACTCCATTTTATGATAAATGTTGCAGTAGTTTGATTACGTTTACGTAATAATTACCTTGGCACCAAGTCGGTATGTTCCCTTTGTCACCCACGACCCGGACCGAACATACCGATCACCGGCTGAAACTCGTCGGAGAACATCGATGAGAAGCCCAACAGAAAAGCCGGCAACATCCTCAGAGAAGGCTTGACCAGCGGCGGTGACGGCAATGCCTCGGCGGCGGCATTCTTGCAAGTCGATGTGGTCAAGCCCAGCACTCGAAGCCACAACGAGCTTCAAAGAAAGAAGAAGGGAAATGGTTTCTGAGGAGACTCGGGTGCTTCCCACGCAGAGAAGGGCAAGCACGGAGGGAGCGTGCCGGGCGAGGAAAGAGTGATTCGACTCGGAGGAGTCGAGCGGGTCGAGGAGATGGAAATGAGCTTGTAATTGGGATTTGAAGAAGAAGGAGGAGGAGGAATAGAAGGTGAGCGAAGGACAAGAAGAGGAGGGAGGGTTTTGGAGAGAATCCATAATTCTATTTCCAGGTTTGTTTATCACAAAACAGAGGCACATAATTCTTATCATCATTGTTTGGACATCGATTAAAATGATGCAGTAGCTGTTATTCAGTCAAATGGCCCAGTCTCGATATTATTGATCAACAGTGATCACAAGTGTTTTTTCCCCCCTTAAATTATTATCAATTTTCTCTGTTTTTTTTTAACAAAATCGTCATTAACATTTTAATTTGTGTACAAAAAGCTGCTAATCCTCACACGAAGAATATCAACTCAGAATTTTCTTTGCTATTCAATTATACTTCACCAGCTTTTATAATTTTTTGGTTAGTTGATTACCGTTTATGCAAAATTTTCAATTTGATACTTCTAATGTTTTTTAACCATTAGGAACATAGTGATGGGCCAAGTTTTGGATAGCCGAAGGGAAATAATAAGATTAGAAGGTGGCATGAGAAGCGAAATTACAGAAACAATGCAATATGTATACAGTAAATTAGGTAATCCTCACAGGAAAGACTAAAGAGAAGGGTGAATCATCCATCCATGAAATATTACGTGTTGGAAAGGGATATGAGAATAATGGTACCTTTAAGACCACAGCTAGAAGAGTTGATGAGACATTATCTCATGGTGAGCCAAAAGAACCAATAATTGTCACAACAACCACCTTCAATCAGCAGCACAAGGCAAAGCAGCAGCTCCCTTGGCCTTATGATGGAGCTGTGGAAAACTGTGAAGCAATATCCAGTCACTCACAGGTAGGGCAGGAAGAAGATGATGTTGGTGTTGGTGTGCCACCTGGCTTTTCTGAAGAAATCGACCAGAAGCAGCCATGTGATGTCAATGATGATGACCCTGATGTTCCTCCTGGATTTGGTTGATGAGGTTCAATTTGCAAGCATTTCCCACTGGCATCATGCAGCTGTAACTGGCATCCTGCTACTGAGGCCGTATACCTTGCTTCTGCTCTAAAAGGCGCTCTTTTCCTGTTTCAGTCAGAGAGGGAGCTCTTAGTCTGCTATGGTGATAACCAGATTAATATTTTTTCTTGAAAGATTTTATTTTTTTGCCTATATTCATGACGTTTTCCTCAATAAATCACCGGATCGATATATTTACCGACCTAATACCGGTCAGATTATATTTTTTTATCTAACATCCGTAGTAATAAAGCGCACCCCTTGAATCGCGCTATACGCTGATTTAGCGTCACATGGGAATAGCGCCCCCCCTGATCCGCGCTATATATGGGTATCTGACACGTGGGGTATAGCGCGGAGCAGGGGGCGCGCTATACCCCTAAATACCCGTCCCTCCACATCCCAATCTTTCCTATAAATATCCTCATTCTCAATCACTTTTATCACACCAAATTCTCTAAATTTCTCTTAAATACTCTCTCTTTTAAGGTATATTTTATAATATTTCTACTATTATATATTTAATTTATTTAAGTATTTTACTTTATTTAATATTTTACTAATATAATTCTTTTGCAGATATATAATGGAAGGCAGTCTACTTCGCTCGTATGGAAATCATATATCTCTGCAATTTGCTGATACAGTAACATTTTAACGTTTTAATTTAATTTAAATTATTAGTAATATTTAGTTGATTTATTTAATGCATGATTATTAGATTAAGAATTAAATATATCGACACTTTGCTGATACGGTAACATTTTAACGTTTTAATTTAATTTAAATTATTAGTAATAATTAGTTGATTTATTTAATGCATGATTATTAGATTAATAATTAAATATCTCGACACTTTGCTGATACGGTAACATTTTAACATTTTAATTTATTTTAAATTATTAGTAATAATTAGTTGATTTATTTAATGCATGATTATTAGATTAATAATTAAATATCTCGACACTTTGCTGATACGGTAACATTTTAACGTTTTAATTTAATTTAAATTATTAGTAATAATTAGTTGATTTATTTAATGCATGATTATTAGATTAAGAATTAATTTTTGTATTTATTTATTTTTAGGAGAAATACCGTGTATTAGATCCTTTTATTAGGAATCTTAAGTTAACGATACCCAGCCGTGTCTTGTTGTATTTAGTAGAGGCTGTATTTGGTTACATAGGTAGATATCAGGGTCATTGTAAGATAGAGTCAGAGCTGATTTCTGCCTTAGTAGAGCGGTGGAGGTCGGAGACTGATTTCTATGCACCTGGGGCTTCCGATGGATGGAGATGTGATATCGGAGATAGCAACCGGTTCTTAGACTACTTTGTGTCGGGATAGTCTATGACGTGTCCCGGAAAATTTTATCGGAGGTGGGATACAGTTAAATTGGTTAGATGCCAATTTTCGGGAGTTAAGCGTAGACGCCTCTGAGGATGAGGTTAAGATGTATGCACGGGCATGCATACTGCAGCTGATAGGAGGGTTGCTGATGTCGGACAAATCGCGCAACCTAGTTCACTGCATGTGGTTGCGACATCATAGCGACTTTCGTCTCGCCGGATCATTCAGTTGGGGCTCGGTAATTTTGGCTTTGCTGTACAGGGAGATGTGTGGAGCCACTGACTACAGGCGTAATGCTATCGGCGGATATCTCCTGCTGCTGCAGTCTTGGGCATGGTATCGATTGCCCTTTTTATGTCCTGTTGTGAAGAACTCATTCGTATTTCCACTACTTCTAAGGTAATTATAAAACTGATTTTGTATATTAATAATTTTATACAGCGTATAACAAATTTTTTTTCCTTGAATAGGTGGTCTACTGATACGAAAAATCATCAGGAGCTATCTGATGATTTAGAAAAAATTAGGGTGCTAATCGATCAGAAGGCTGGCACACATGTATGAATTTTAATGTTTAAAAATCGATTTTAGATTATAGTTATATAATTAGATTATTATTTTGATAAAAATTATATATTATTTGTTTTAGTTTGAATGTGTGCCATATTCTACTGATGATGTGAGGGCGGTGATCCCACCTGAGTTAAGGGGTCCATCAGATGTTTGGATGGCGATGGTCCCTCTGATCTGTTATGCGACCGTCGAGTGGCACTCCACTGATCGCGTGCTCTGGCAGTTTGGTTGTTTTCAACCAATTCCGGAAACACCTCGCAATATGGACGAGTTGCATAGCTTAGATAGACGTGGCAAGACAGATACAGATTGACTGGTGAGGCATCATGAGTGGGTCGTGTTGTGGGTGTATCGACATCTGCGCCTTCCACGTAGAGATCACATTTTTACTGACTTCTTGATGTATACTGATGATTATTATGAGTGGTTCAACAGTAACGGTAAACCGTTTCTACTTCCCGAGGATGCACGAGGGCAGACCTTTCCACGACGTCAACAGAGACGTTCACCGACACAGTACCATCGTCCCCCCGACTCGTGGACGGAGAGTAGGTGCTTCCGGTTCATCCTCAGCTGCACCAGCAGGAACTTCCCAGCAGCCACCACAACCATATATGATGCCGCCATCGCATTTCCATTACTGGATGTCGTCGCCTTCACCTGGTTTTATGACCCCCGCCACCGCCACCGTCACATATGACCCCTCCTGGAGGCTATTATAGGTCTATGTTTGTAGATCTGACTTAGGATTCATATGCTGGATATTTTGCATATTCAGCCTCATCACCCATGGCCGCAGTACAGACACCTCCTATACAGTTTTTACACTCAGCGATGTCTGGGTTTTCCCAGTTTTCGCAGGTCGGTGGGATAGTCAGTCATACACCTCCAGGGTTCTTATTCTATGGAGGTGCTTCATCGTCATCAGCTCCTCGTCAACCTAATGTACCTGCTCATGACGACGACAACGACGACGACGATGGTGACAACGACGACGATGACAGCGATGAGTCAGAACCAGTGATACGAAGAAATCCTCATCGAGACCGACAGCCACCGCCCTGCGGAACACATTCGTGACGCAGACATTGATAGATTTTTTTATTATATTTGTATTTACTTTATTTTGTTTAATTGTAATTTTTTATTATTTCTTATTTAATACTTACTTTATTTTGTTAAATTTGTTGGACTTTTTTAATATTTTTCAGTTAATTTTGTTTATTACCATTTAATATCAGTTATTGTAATTTGGTTATCATTTACTATTTAATTCTTATTGTAAGTTTGTTGTATTTAAATACCAAATTGTTATTAGTTTGATAAAATTTAATGATTGTGTTCGTTTTTTTAATCTTCATCAACGATTATCAATTGACATTAACTTGAAGTAAATGTAAATTAAAATACAAGAATTATTATTTGATAAACAAATACATCATTTCCTCATCAATTGTTACTTGATGACAACAAAAGTGGATATGTTTTTCTAGTGTGTCCTGGGTTTCTACAATGGCCACATCTTCTGTCTTGTATAGATCTTTATCAAATATACATATCGCAATGAATTCGATTGGATTTTGGACGACCACGCTCCCTCAATAAACTCGGATTTGGTACAATCAGAAGCCAATCTTGAACCTTATCAGGGTCTTTGTCATTACCTATGGGGGAAAACTCAAATTCGTATACCTTAAAAACTTCAGATAATAGGTATACGGGATCCACAAAATGGTTATAGTCTTGACGTGTATGCGAGCAAGATGCTATCACATGAAGAGGTCGCGACAACTCTGTGACACGAAACATTTCATGCCTTCTAGAGAAGCTTGTTACAGACATTCCATTTGATGCAACAATTTTTTTCTGTAGATCTGCATCTAATCTAGGGTGATAAACATGACCGCCTTACATCTAAGTTTGAGTTTTTCCCCCGAGCTTTAAAAAAATGACAACTGTCGTTTCGATGTCAAAATAAATTCCTTCTTCTCGGATAATAATTAAAGGAAAATTCGTAGCGTAGAGAAGTAGGGTCGAATCCACAGGGACTTAGAAAATTATAAATTTCTGTCTGATTTATTTATGCCAGGCGTGAAAAGTAATAAAAAAGGGGGTTTTGGTAGAAAGGTAATAAAAGCGATTAAATAAATAAAAACAATTGAAG